TGAGGCTGTAATCAAGCCTGAAGATGCTAAGCCTAACTCCCTGATGATATTTGACGATGTTGCTGGTGAAAAACAAGATCACATCAAGGCTTTTTTCTGTATGGGTCGACACAAGGATGTTGATAGCTTTTATCTCTGTCAAACTTATACACGAATACCTAAACATCTAATTAGAGATAACGCAAACTTTCTTGTGCTATTTCGTCAAGATGAAATGAATTTGAAGCATATATATGATGATCATGTCAATACAGACATGTCATACAACTCATTCAGAGATTTATGCTCAGCATGCTGGAATAAATATGGGTTTGTGGTAATAGATAAAGACAGTGAATTAAACAGTGGTAGGTATCGAAAAGGATTCGACTGCTTTATTAGTATAAATTGAGGTACTTTAAAGTGTGATAGTCATACATGCTGTAGACTTTAACCTGTCAACATGAAGCCTGAAGAAATTTCAAAGCAGAAGGATATTTTACATCAGATATCTCAAGCCAGCGATGCTATCCGACGGAAGCACAAGATGCTGAAGTTGGGCAAAGATACAGCTGAAAAAGCCATGGAGGAAATGTTCAAGCCTATTGTGACACCACTTCAGAGTATAGTTGAATCTTCAAAGCTTAAAAAAGAAAATATTAAAAAAGAAGAAAAGCCGCAGGTTGAAAAAAAAGAGGTTCAAGAACAAGAGATTGAAAAATCTTTATACACTGACCCAGAAGAGTTCAACAGTTTAATGACGGATGATGAAAGTTCATCTAACAACACAGCATTTCCTATTGCCCCACCATCATCAACAAGTACTCCAGCTCGTAAAAATCCTCTTCTCGCTAATTATTTACAACGTTTAAGTTCAAAAAACAAAAATAATGACATGAGATATGGTGTACGCAGAAAACATGGTGAAATGTGTATGGGTGATTCAAATATTTCATTTGCAAATGATACAATAACTGTCAAAGAAAGAAGTTATCCAATAACTCCTGGGTTGTTGGAATTATTGTTTACAAAAACACCAAAAGATACGCTTGTCACGCAAGATGACAAGACAAAATATTTGGAAATTATCCAAAGAACAAATACTCATAGGAAAAGTTATGATCCAAGTAAAAGTATTTACAGAGATTCAACAGACAAGTATAAGAAATATATTGCTGATTTGGTTGAAAAGCATGGTAGAGGACTACCAAAATTTATGATTAGCACCAAGACACCTATGGACTATGTATACTGGGATGATCCAAATGAACTTGTTGACCGTTTGCGACTACTGATGGCGTCTCAAGCTGCTGGGAATCCAAGTCATACGAATGAAATCATGTCAATTATTGAAGAGCTTAGGGAGGCTGGAGTTATATATTAAAATCTTCTAGAAAATTATTTTATTCAGACATTGACAGTCAAAGTGTTCACAACTATGAGCATCGATATATTTGGACGTCCACTGGGCAATGACAAGTCAGGTCAACGAGGACCAGCTGGTAGAGGTTTCAATGTAACTTCTGATGGAAACTATAACATTGAGAATAAAAGACTGTGCAATCTCGGTAATCCTTCAAATGAACATGATGCTGCGACAGTGCAATTTGTCCTGAGACGGATGTCTGAACTGAATAAAAGTATAGACAGTGAACAAAAAGAGATTATTTCACATTTACACTCTGAAATAGTAATACTGAAAGCTACTATAATAAATTTGCAGACGACTATTGAGGACGTTAAAGCAGTCTCCACTCACCAGAATAATATAAAATATCTCATTGAGAAACTCAATGGTCGACAAAAAGGCAGTGATAGCTAAAGAGCTTCACAAACCAGCTCGCAGGAACTATAAACGTCGTCATGTTGACATCCGAGGTCTCGATGAGACTTGGCAAGCTGACTTGGTTGAGATGATTCCTTATGCAACAGTTAATAAAGGATACAAGTATCTGCTTACAATAATAGATATTTTTTCAAAATATGCCTGGGCAGTTCCAATTAAATCAAAAAGTGGTGTTGATGTTACTAGTGCTATGAAGTCTGTACTTAAACAAGGTCGTGTACCTAAAAATCTCCATGTTGATCAGGGTAAAGAGTTCTACAACAAAGAATTCAAAGATCTGATAAAGCAGCACAAGATAAATCTTTACTCAACATTCAGCAATCTCAAAGCATCTATCTGTGAGCGTTTTAATAGAACACTTAAGAATAAAATGTGGCGAGAATTCACAGCTCGTGGTAGCTATAAGCATAATGAAAACTCGATTTTTGCAAAACGGGGTGAAAACAATAACTTCCCGATTTTTGAAAATCTTCGATTTTCTTAGCGAGAAGTTAAAAGGGTACCCAAAGGTCAATGTCTAAAAAAGTTATGGCTATTTGAAAAAAAAGAAGCCACTTTTTTGGGAAATTCAAAACTTTTTTTTGGTTGGCCAAAAAAATTCTCAAAAATTCTCAAAAATGTTTTTCAAAGGGTAGAAAAGAATGATAAAGTTTCAGCTAAATCTAAATGGGTCGAGTTCAAAAGTGGTCGATTTGGCATGGAATACCCCATAGATGTACATCAATCTCTTGGTTTTTTAAAAATTTTATTAATTGCAAATAAATATGACATTAAAGTTAGCAGTCACTTAACCATTTTTTAATTTTTTTTAACAAATAAATTATTTTTAAAAAATTTAATTTTTTATTTTTTTCAATTTCTACATATCAATTTTCTTTCTATTTTTTTTTTTTGCCATAATTTATTTGTTTAAAAAAATTCTTAAAATTTTCAAATATCTGCTAAATTAATTTTCATCAAATAAACAACTTTGAGTTACCTAGCCATTCGCATTCGTTGACCTACAATCCCTAAATAAAAAAAAGTATTGAGACAAAGAAAAAAGTATTGAAAAGTATTGGATTGACTAGAAAACCAATTCTTTTCAATACTTTTTTCTTTGTCTCAATACTTTTTTTTTAATTAGGGATTCTTTCAGAGAATTTTTTTTTTTTAATTTAACTCAATCAATGGATTTTTTCGCAAGTTACAGTGTTTTCAGAGTTTCATACATGACGGACAGGAAAATTTTTTAAACTTATTTTGGTGTTCCTTTCTATTGCACTTAATAACTTTTTAAAAAGTATGGAATTAATCTCCATTAAATTATCTTGACAATAGGATGCAAAATATTTGATTCCGTGAACTAACAAGGTTATAATAATAAAAAAAATTTTTTTTGCTGTCGTGCAATAGTTGTCGAAATGAGGCGAAAAAAATTTTTCGATCGTAAAGCACTGTCTGATGCTCCGCATTATGTCATGCAATTATCACATGTCTCTGAATTTCAATGTCATTTTTTTATCTTAAGATTTATTTGGAACCTAAAAGAGAATAATCTAAAAATAAATTTACTATGGCCTAGCTTTTTAAATTTAAAAATTACCACCGTTTATCTACGGTAATATTTATAATATTTTTTTTTTTTTCGGTAAGTAATTCATGAAGGATAATATACCGACTAAGTATATCGACATTTCTAACTGCCATCTAGTATATATAATATAAACTATTAAATAAACCTGTGAATGACGACTGACACCTGCAACAATATTATTTGACATCACTTTCATACACACACATATACACATACATTATTTACTATTCTCTGGACTCAACAAAAACGATTAAGTGTAACAATATTGCCTGTCAATTGAATAGTGGTTAACAATATTCAATAGAGCAGTAGATGGTAATTTCGTAATGTGTGAAGACGTCACTAATAACGTATTAAACATGTCATCATTACCACCACCATCATCGTCAACTAGTGAAATTTATTAATTACTCCAATTTCGTTTGATTTAATTTAAAGATTGTCAAAAAGATAGTCTATTTACTTGCATTGAAATTCCTCTTGTGTGTGGGTTTAAAAAATGGGACGGTCAACAGTAGTGATGGTGTAATGCCAGATAACGTTGATATTAAATAAATATAAGTGTACATAACAAATTGATAAGTGTCACTAGTTTAATTATTCATTTGAATGTACAAAAATTATTATTAGCAGAATGTCATCTGTAATACGGTTCGTTGATGATACCTGTTTCATCTGAGCGAGCAAGTGCTTCATGGAAGAGTGTTTTTGAACGGTGCTTCATCCTAGAAAAATCATAAGATTTTTAGTACTATAGCTACAAAGAAATAAAAATAAAGCATCACAATTCAACGATCCACTTAAAAGGTAATTTTGATTTTACAAAGAGTTTTAGTTTTTCACTAGTGAAAATCGTTAGTCAACTGCGACATTGAGAGGTAGTTACATATATAGTTACTTACTTTTAAATATATGTACACTGTTAACTGAATATGTACATTATTTTTACACTAGTCAGAGTTTTATTTATCCAAGGTTAAAATGGTTAATCAGAAGTAATGGTGATTCATTATTCTATTAAATGTCTACTTTTTCTAATCAAATTTCATAACTTATTTTTATCCATTTATGATAGTATTTTATAATTACTTGCTCATTAAGCCAAAGATGATTATTTTCAGTAATTAATGTGAGGATTAGATTGAATACAGTTATTCATGTGTTAAATTTACGTAATTACTTCATTTCGTTGTTAATTAATAGGGTATTTTTAATAACAATAATTGTAGCAAACGTTTAAGAATTATGTTTAAATTTAAATATAATTTATTTATTACATAAATAATAATATAAAAAAAAGTACACTTGAAAATTTTAAAATACTTCCTATGCAGTTGAAAATAAAAATTTTTTCAGTTATTCAGTTACAAATTATTTAAAAATTTTTTCAAATTGTTCATCTGCTAAATTCTCACTCACATTTTTTAAGTTATTATTTTTTATTATAGAAAAAACATTGATTGAACTTTTAAAATGTGAATGTTATGTAAACAAATTTTGTAATTTTTAAGTATTCATAATAAATTGAATTTGTTATTTTTTATTATTATATTTATTGTTGTAGATTTTTTGAGTTGCAGAAAATAAAAGGACTTTAAAATGGATCAAGAAACAGTATATGGAACCCATGAGGATAATCATGTGGTGATGTCTGAAAAAGTTCAGTCATTAGCTGGAAGTATTTATCAAGAATTTGAAAGGATGATAGCTCGATATGATGAAGATGTTGTAAAAGAGTTGATGCCATTACTAGTCAATGTATTAGAGTGTTTAGATATAGCGTATACTGAAAATCAAGAGCATGAAGTTGAATTGGAATTATTAAGAGAAGACAATGAACAATTAGTCACTCAGTATGAACGAGAAAAACAGCTACGAAAAGCATCGGATCAGGTATTTTTTATATTTATTTCATTGATATTCATTCTCAGTAGTCGACCATGCCATGTGGGGTCATCATATTCCAATAGATTTTTTTGTGTATAGTGATAATACTTTTTTAATTGGCAGAATTTTATATTTCGTGTGATGTTTCAATTAACAAGTAAAAAAATTTTTTTTTCCACTGATATTAGACAAACTGTTACTGTATAATTGATACCTTAAAATAATAAAAAAAAAAAATAATTGGAGTTTAATATTAAAAATTTTTGTCATTTAGAAACTGTTGGAGCTCGAAGATGTTGCTGAAGATGAACGAAAGGAGTTGCTATCGAAGATTGATAGTTTGGAATCAATACTAAAAATGTTGGAGCTCAAGACTAAAAATTCACATGATCATGGTACAATTGCAAATAACACTTCGAGTTATTGCCCCCACAGTGCACAATCCTACAGTAGAGTAGATTATTTTTTTGTTATTATTTTTTGTAGCCGATGATCATTTATCCTGTATCATTTTTAATTGTTGATGATTTTTATCCAAATTTCTTGCACCTTGCTACTGATATTTTATTTTATTTTTAAATTTTTTGAATTGCAACCTGTGGTTCTTGTGTTTACTTCAATAAGGTTTACGTGGTTAATAGAATATTGACATAACACTTTTTAAATGCCACACCTTTTTTTTTATATTATATTAAATTTATATGTTAATTGTGTAAATTTTTTGCATCATTATTATGAATGAAACTATCATAAAATAGCTTGAATTCCTCATTTGAGAATATTTATGAGCTAAAAAAGTTTTATACATTTAATTTTAATTGTTATTGTTTTTAGTTGTTCGCTTGGAAGAAAAGGAAGCTGAATTAAAACGTGAATATTCACGTTTACATGATCGATATACGGAACTATTCAAAACCCACGTCGATTATATGGAACGAACAAAAATGTTAGTCGGTAGCTCGGAAAGACTGGAAAATTCAACAAATAATCGTGGTCCAAATAGATTACCTGGGCTTAATTTAGCTCATATGTCACGAAGCTCTGGACCTTTAAGTTATGGATTTCAGAGTTTAGAAGGTAGTATGAATGCTGAAGATATACAGGAAGAAAGTCCCACACAAGGTGCTAGTTTAAAATCTGAAATGCAAGACAGTAGTAGTGAGGTGGTCATCGAAACTTCAGATAAAAGTCAACTGACGGATAATCCAACTCAAGATAATCAAGAACCGAGTTTATCACGACGTAAGTTTATAACCAACTATAATAATTTAATCGTTGAGAAAAGTCAATTAATATTCAATTTTTCAACTAGCATACATTGACGAAAGTCCAGAAACTGATGTTCCACCTCCTGCAATAACAACTCCAACAACCCCAATTATAGATAAGCAAGTAAGTACTCCTAGTGGACGAAGTCGAACTGAACGAGAGCAACGTAGTGGTAATACGCTGTATCAAGAGCTCAGTTTTCAAGATGCTGACGCTTTAGGAGAAATGGACGAAGGTGCAGACATTACTGGTGAATAATTTTTCGTCCGCGTTATTAACTTTATCATTTATATAACTAACTTATTATGACAATTGCCGGATTTACAGGCAGTTGGGTTCATCCAGGGGAGTATGCATCATCGGGTATGTTGTAAATTGAATAAACAAAATCATTCCAAATAACTAATTTCATTATAATTTTATCATAATATAAATGATAAAATATGAATATTGAAATACATAATGTTTTTTAATTAAATAATAAGCTTACTAATAATTTTTGATTTTTTTTTTATGTCGGTCTACTCATGTTTGATTAATAATGCATGCAACGAATAACAACAGTTAATGATAACTTTTTTGGTAAGATTTTATTTTTTATATTAAAAAGTGATAAAAATAGTAATAAAAAAAATAATTATATTTTTACTTGATACAAGAAAATTTATTGTTTATGCATTTATAAAATTATTATTTCTTTCCAACAGGAATGGGAAAAGAAGTTGAAAATCTTATTATGGAAAATAATGAACTCTTAGCGACAAAGTGAGTATTTTTTGTTTGTACTAAAAATATAAAGTCTTAAGTATTATTACACATTTTAATAAATTTTTTCTTTAAGGAATGCTTTGAATATTGTAAAAGACGATTTGATAGTAAAAGTAGACGAATTGACAAGGTAAAATAAAATACTTAACGATGAATTTAAATGAAGTTTTAAAGGCCGTTAAACAAAAATTATTTGTAATACTTCTAGTGAACAAGAAATTTTACGTGACGAAATAAGAGTTCATCAGCAAGCTCGTGAACGACTACGCCAAAAAATAACGACATTAGAAGAAGAATTGAAGAAAGTTAAAGAGGAAGCTGAAGCTGCTGCAAAAGCGACCAAAAGTGACGATGAAGAAGACGTCCCATTAGCACAAAGGAAAAGATTCACCCGAGTTGAAATGGCGAGAGTACTTATGGAAAGAAATCAATATAAAGAACGATTTATGGAGCTTCAGGAAGCCGTTAGATGGACTGAAATGATTCGAGCTAGCAAAACAGACCCAGCTAGTATTTCTGGTGGAAAACAATCTGTTTGGAAGTTGTAAGTATTAAACATAACTTAATATTAATATACTTAAAAATAATAAATTACATTAATAAATTTTTTGAACTTTTAGTTTTAGTAATCTCTTTACCGGACCAGCTGATCGGGGGTCTTTACATCGAAATCCTCATGCATTACCTCATATTCGATATAGCGCTCCAACTAATCAAGTTGTACCAGCTCCACCATTAGATGCAATGCGTAGACGTACACTAAAAAATCGTCATGAGATTTTTGACCAAGGAGATACAATGTGAGAATCAAAATTAACTTAGAAGCACTCAAAATTTTAAATAGTTGTAAATAGTTTTCTTCAAACTCTGAACTATATACATTTAAATTATATTTTCTTGTTCTATTTATACTATAGATATATCTCTATCTTCACTCAAATTTTCTAATCTTGACGTTTATTTAAAAAAAAAAAATTACATTTAATCAGGTGTGAATACCATCTTTGATCTTTACAACTGAATTAGATTAATATTTTTAATTAAGACCTGAAAACAATAAATATTACTCATATCTATTTTCATATCAATCATTTATATTTTTGATTTCTATTCTTCATTTATTTCATAATAATTATTTCATCACATCTCCAAGCAACATTCTCACTTAAAATATTTTCTGCCATATCTGTTTTTTATGTGATTTTTAATGGAATTACGTACTAGTCAAAAATTTCTTAAATGTAAAAAATATATTCTGTAATCAATGAACGGTTTTACTTTTATATTATTTCAACTATCTAATCTTTATTGGAATAAAATAAATTTTCTTTTCCATCGCATGTTCGCTTTCTATTTTATTACAATTTTTACGGCTATCAATTTTTGTTTAATATTTCGCTTTTGTTGTGTGACTATGAAACCTTATTCACACAGTAGACATTTCAGCTCATCAGAAAAACGAGTGGCCAGACTTGCAAACGAAAGGAAAGAACAATATCGACAAGTTAGGGCACACGTGAGAAAAGAAGATGGCCGATTGCAAGCTTATGGATGGAGTTTGCCTGGAAAACCTAGTGCACCTGCTAGACAGCCAGTTCCAGTTCCTGTTTATTGTCGTCCACTTCAAGAAACTGAACCGGGAATGAAGGTACAGTGTCAATCCGTATTATTGAAAAATTGGTAAAAAATGTTCTTCTAATTCTACAGATTCAAAAACATCATGTGAAAAGAGAGTCGTTAATTCAAAGTTTGAAAAATATAGTATCGCGTTTTTCGATTTAGTTAAAAAAAAAAAAATAACAATAAACATATGGGTAATTCTCTGTAAGGATGTTTTTTGCTGTCCCAGGCATTGTTTTATTAGAAAAATTGTTATTTTGTTACTAAAAAAAATTTATTATGAAAGCAAAAAAACATTTCTATTTGGAGCATTGAAAATTGAAATGAAATAAATTTTGGTTTTTTTGCTATAAATTCGTAAACCACCAAAATGACAGTCCCCTGGGCTGTCCCACTCCCCAAATTAAAACTTTAAGATTAAATTTTAAGTTATTCGTTCATAATATATAATTTGATCCACAATGTTTATAAACTTAATTAGTTAACTAACAATATTCTTCAATGAAAAGTACTGAAAATTAATTTGTTTTATTAATTTCATCAAATCGAAGTCTGTCCCAGGCATTTTAAGTACAGTCCCTGCCAGAAGTTCAAAGCCAAAAATAAAAAAATCCAGCGTGTTATTTTACCTTTTGTAAAGTTTATAAGGATCTAACTAGCCTTAAGTTAATAACCATAGGGCTGTTAGCGCTTTATCGCCATTTTATTTAGTGTTAAAGCACCGTTTGTGCTGGAAATATGTGTCTGGGCCACTACAAAACTCAGTCCCCTGGCAACTATTTTTATATGTAATTTATTTATAAAAATGGATCTATAAGTCTTAATATTATTCTAATTAATGTAAACATTCATTGAGAACTTAAAAAACTGAATGCATTGAAATAGTTTGCTTGATTTTTCTCAATTTGATAAGAAAAAAACAGTCCCCTGTCATGTTACATGGCACAAGATACACAAATATCGAAAAAGCAAAAATTAATTCGGCTGTTTATTTATTATGATTAAGTTAATAGTTTTGTAGCCCTTGTTAATTTTTTTTCTAATAAAATCAAAAATAATTTAGTCGGACAACTTTGTATAGATTTAAGACGCCCTTACAGAAAATCACCCATATAAACACTTTAAATTAATTTGTTACATTATTTCTTTATTGTTCATAGTATATCAGAAAGTGCGTTTGAAATCTCAGTATTATTTTAATCAATTATTCAAGAATTTAATATATAATTGAGGCCTATAAAGGAACAATAAAGATAATATGTTCTTTTATATAATTTTGGGGTCTACCCTATTTTTGGCAAAGAAATATCAAAAAATAAATATCTTTTAGCATTTTTTTTTTAATCATTCTATTTTACGGCATATTTGCGATATCAATCATTAATATAATCAAAAATGAATTTTTCAGTTAATTTTTAACAGAAGTTAATAATTGTATATCCTCTGAATTTAAAAATATAGTTCATTAATTGGACGGATTCAAAAAATTTATGATAATCATAAATAATTTTTCTTTTTAATAGCTGACTAATCATAAAAATTGTTAGTTGTAAACAAATTATAAGCTTATATATTTCTTTATAACGTATTTATTATTTCATTTTTTAGTAAAAAATACTGTATTTTAATATATATTTTAGATATGGTGTGGGGCTGGAGTTAACTTAAGTGGTGGCAAAACCCGTGATGGTGGATTAGCTGTCGGTGGAAGTGTTTTTTATGCTGACGAAGCTAAAGAAACATCAGTAGTAAAAGGAGAAGTTGAGGATGCTGTTGAACATCTGGACAAAGAATTACAGGAATCTGAACAACGTCGCTTGGAAGCTGAACACCAAGATCAACAATTAAGTTCTCTTGTATGGATCTGCACTTCAACTCAAAAAATGTCCAAAGTATCTGTGATAGATGCTAATAATCCAGCAGATATTTTACAAGTGTTTAATGTTTGTCAGAGTCATTTGCTCTGCATTGCAAGTGTACCTGGTGCCAAACAAAGCGATTATATTCATAATACAGATGACTGTTCACCTCGAACAATGAATGGAATGGGTGAAATAGATCTTGGTAATCTTCAAAATGTCAATCATAACAGTGATAATTTAATTATTGGAGAAGCTACAACGAATAGTGACACTAAAAACTGTCAGAAAACAGAAGACTTTATTGATCGCAGCCAAGCAACCTCTGAAGGACCTAGTTCTTTGGAAGAAAAACCAAGCGATGATTCCGAAAAAATTACTGACATTGATCATAGTTTAAATACTGAACCTCAAAGTTTAGAAGCAACTGATGGTGAATCAGTACTTATAGGTAAAATACATTTTGTTCAAAGTAGTATTGACAATCCGTCAATTAAAAAAGAAATAGATTCAAACGTACCGAAAGCCAACGTTGATAGTGATACAACTATTGAAAAAATGTCATCAATCCAACCTACTATGTGGTTAGGAGCTCAAAACGGAGCTATTTATGTTCACTCAGCAGTTGCTCAATGGTCTGTCTGTTTGCATACAGTAATGCTCAAGGATGCAGTGTTGGGAATAGTGTAAATATTTTTTTTTATTCATATTTATGTATATGTATTTAAGTTTCATAGAACTTCGGTAATAATATTTATTTGCAGTCACATACAAGGTAGAGTGCTAGTAGCTCTTGCTGATGGAACAGTGGTAATATTTCGACGAGGATCTGATGGGCAATGGGATTTATCCAAATATCATGTTATAACTTTAGGAAGTCCACAGCATGCAATTAGATGCATGACATCTGTATCAGGAAAAACAGTTTGGTGTGGATATAGAAATAAAATTCATGTAATTGATCCAGTTCTCATGACTCTCGAGGTAAATTAATTATAGTATTATCAATCACTGTAATTCAATATTAAATACTTCAAAAAATGTTAAATTAATGATGTTGTTTGTTATATTAAATTATTAAAAATATAAGAGTGAAAATTAGGAATCTGTTTTTAGTGTACCGTTGACGCACACCCAAGACGAGAATCACAAGTCCGACAATTAGCTTGGCTTGGTGAAGGGGTCTGGGTTAGCATCAGATTAGACTCTACATTAAGATTATATCATGCTCATACGTATCAACATCTTCAAGACGTAGACATTGAACCGTATGTCAGTAAAATGCTTGGTACTGGAAAACTTGGTTTTTCTTTTGTTAGAATCACCGCATTGCTTATTTCCTCTAACCGACTGTGGATTGGAACGGGCAATGGTGTAATCATATCTGTACCATTATCTGAAAGTAAGTAATCATGCGAAAATTTTATCATAATTAACGATCATAAAAATTATAACATAATGAGAGAATTATTTAAATATAAAAAGGTGCTGGAGGATCTTTAGCAGTATCTAGAGTACAAAGTGTGGCAAGTAAAAATGATGCGCCTGGAGTTGGAGTAAGAGTATTCGCGTCAGAGCACGGGGTAACACCAGGCAGTTTTGTACCATATTGCAGTATGGCACATGCTCAACTCAGCTTCCATGGACATCGAGACGCGGTCAAAATGTTTGTCGCTGTCCCTGGTAATACATAGTTACCACAATTTGATATTCATAAACCTTTTTAAACTTAGTTTTAGACTTTTCTCATAGATTTACAATAATTATTTTGTGATCCACAAAAAAAAAATAATTTTTTTTTTTCTACTATTTAACTATCAGGACATGGAGGTCAAAGTGCTGTTTCAGATGGTTCTCAACCAGCGATGTTAGTTTTATCAGGTGGAGAAGGCTACATTGATTTTCGTGTTGGTAAGTCACAAAAATATAATATACTTTCTAACTAATGAAGAATTTTTAATAAACAGTACTTCCAAAATGATAGCTAAATATTTATACGATGAAGTAATTGAATGAAATGATAATTATCAGGATAATTAGATAATTCATAATTTCAGCAGAAGAAGCTGAAGACGAAAATGATGTCGCAACTCATCTTATAGTTTGGCAGTTGGTCAGGTATGCCCCCAGAGAGTAACATCATGTGTTAGATTGTCACTCATAATTTTACAGTACTAACAATTAATAATTCTAATATCTTAAATAAGAAAATAAAATGCTTTTCTAACATAACTTTTGACCAATCACTTAAAAATAAATGAAATATACTAACAATGCGTATGTATTGATCGTTATTTAATAGAAAAAATTTTATTGTATTAGTAATTTTGTACATAAATTATGCTAATCATAAATATTAATTTTTGTCATAAAATCACTTATTTTCTGGCTCTCTGGGGGTAAAGTGGGAAATCTTTTAACTGAAATATATTAGGTAGTCAATAGTAATGAACTCGACTTCTTCAAAAATAACTACCAATTTTATAATTAAAACATTTTTATTTATAAAATAACATTGATAAAATTACTGCAATGTTTTTCAGGTGATGGTGATGAAACTGAAGAAGGTTTGGAGCGTACAAATGTTACAGTCGCTAGTCATGAAGAACACAGTGAACAAAGTCATCTTATTGTTTGGCAAGTTCAATCGCCTATTCAAATAAATGGCTAAATTAATTGTGGTTGTTGAGATTCAATATTTCAAACGGTGCATACCTTAAAATAATTTATAAAAACACAATTAAATATTAAAAAAAATTTGGATCAACGGTCAAGTAATTAATAACTTAATGAAAATAAATTCTTTAAATGCCGGAATAATATTATACACTATCCAATTTGTTCAATTATTGTAGACATGATTACTATAAGATCAATGTAGATTATGGCAACAAAGTATGACAATGATGGGGCTTGATTGTTCATTTTTAATTGATAAAAAAATTAAATTCAAATTTTTAACATGACTAATATAATTGTAAATTAGCTAATTAAATAATAATTTATAGAAAACAAAAAAATACAGTTATATGCGTCTCTTTTTGTACGGAGAAATAGTACATCGTTCTAAAAAAAGTAATCACTATTTAGTTTTATTATGCATTAAAAACTCAAAAGTAGTATAGAGATTCATACAAAGTACTTTTTTTTTTATTTTTATTTTTAAGTATAGTTATTTTTTTTTGAATTGTTTATCTCAGGTTTTGTATGAAAGAATTTTTTTTTTTTCATAGTCAATGTCATATTTATATAATAAATACATAATATTGATTTTATTATTAATATTAAACTAATGGAGTTATGTATATAGTTAATATAATTTCTTAATTTATGTGACACTTAGTTTTAATCAAACAATGCGATTGATGTTGTATAAATAATGTTATTCTTATTTTATATAATTCATTTTTGTAGACATTTTTTTTGAATTGACGTGAGCTAGTCACTCATTAATTTTCATCGCCAAATTGAGACTGTATTAGCTTGAAATTCTTCAAGTGCATTTTGCTTTAACATTGAGAGCCTTAGAGAGTAAGCGTAAATTTTAAAACCATTATAATATTCATAACATTTGTAATGTTACCGTCATAAAGTTAAGCTCTGAAACACTTTGTATAAAAAATATTATTTTTTAAAAATACAATTATAATATATATGCTTTCTCTCGCTTCAATGTTTCTGCTCAGTCTTTTACCAAAGATTTAACAAAATTCGATTTAATTGGTTTATATTTGTCGAATGGAAAATTTTCTCGAGAAAGTTTTTATGCATTCCGATAATTTGAGTAATTGCTAATTAAATTCAATCATGCTGTTTTATTTATATAAAAGTTATACCCGGTTCAAACGGAACCTTAACAGCATTAAAATAAAAAGAAAAAAACTATTAAAATAATTATTGTTTTTACTCATTTTTCAAGTTTGTCAATTTTGTATAATTATTATACCTCTCAAAGAGTTTAAATTATTATAAAATAATACAAATAATTGAAAACAACAAACGCCTGAGAAATATGGTTTGTTTTTTATTTGTTAATAAAGTTACATATTAATAAAAACTATTTGAAAGTATGCAAATGAAAATTCTTTACATGAACTAGCTAGAATTCTTTTTTTATATCTATTTATGATTTTATTAAGTATTTTAAATAAAAAATTAATTGGCGTTTGCTACTCTTTTACTACCATACTGTTACTATGTCATGAAGTTATGCTATAACCATACATTTTTATATAATTTATTGCAAGTAATGAGTACATTGAACTTAGTCTATAAGGAGTAAATTATTTTTTTTTCTTTCACCGCCTAATACCACATTTTAATGACAGATGTACTTATAAGTAAATAAATCTATTGTCGTAATTAATTTATTTATAAAGGTGAACAATAAAGTAGCTGCTATAATAATTGAGTGATGAGATTATCTATATCAAGACCTTGCCAGACTTTACAAGTTATATCAACACGTAAATCATTTTTGCAATTCGCGCTTGCTTTCCCCTACCAAGTTCAACTGAACAGAAGTAATAAAACCGCGCGGTTGTTGTCGGAGAGTGCAAGTGTATCGTTGCGGACTTTGCATTGTAACTTATGTTTATCATCTCTTAATTTTCCAAAGTATTATTCTCTCAGTAATAAGCGTTTTATGAGTAATTGCGCCGATAAAAATAAAAATAACGAAATGGACCGAGATCTACAAAAAACGTTTGAAGACCAAAGTTCCTCAGATTAACGGGTTCAAAGATATCCGCGGTCAAAGATAACACTAATAAAAAATTTCAAATATTTTCCAATAAAACTACAAAAAAAATATCATATGCTATATTTTTATTATTTTTTATGTAAAATTACTTTAATTCTGTTAACCTGAGACTGTAAACTTTTTTTTTACTAATTAATTCAATACTTAACTCACGAAATGCACTAAGATATAAATATAAACGTTAAAAATGTCACATAAATGATTTTTTGGTCTTTCTTATAACAAATTTATTTTATATTTTATAAAATTGATAAATTTTTGTAAGAGGAAAATGTAAAGTTCCCTATTACACAAACTCACCAAACACTCATCATTGCATATTATTCAAAATAATATGGAAATTCTGTAAATACGTTAAATCAATTAAATCTACTATAAAACTTGATCAAATGTTTTTTATTTGAAAAATAAAACTGTGTTGGTAAGCCTGGTTGTTCGGTACTAACTTCATTTAGTTGCTTTGCTCTCAACGCTTTACTATATCTTTTCGTCATTGTCTTTGTTCATTGATACTGACTGTTTTTTCAATCCGTTATATTATTAATTTAATTAGTTGAAATATATTAGTTATAAATTTTGTGACCATAATGGTGAAAACAGTGTACTTGATTGGTGATGTGTTAAGTGAATTAGTTGGAAAAAAATTACTCTCTCTGAAAGAGGTTATGTCGCTTTTATTTTATTATCTTGATACGAAAAATTTTTCAGTTAAAGAAAGTATATCAATCACTATCGACAAAGTTTTTGAAATTTGGTGTGCGGCACAAATCCCGACAAGAGAGAAAAGATCTGCTTTTTTGAAACTAACCCCAAATCACAATCGATGGAAGAATTTACAAAAAAACCGTAAAATGAAAAAGTCAAAGTCTCAAAAAAAAAAAGGAATCCGTTTTTCAGGATGAATTAAATAAACTATTTGATGTAGCTCATTCGGATGTTTTAAATATACTGGACAAAGAAAAAAGATTATTTTATTTGGGATAAAAATCTTCCAGTCGACGTGGTTTTATTTCATATAATTCTCAACCAATTTTAGAAGATGTCGAAGACATGGATGTTAATATCAGCAATGTCAATTTGTGTCTATGAGATCGATTAATATATTTGAATCGTTTGATTTGTCGTATGAGTTCATTGATGAGGATGTTACTTTGTGGCCTCAGAATCCGAATTTCTTAGAAAACTTGGAGTATTTCGGGAAACTTCAAGTTGTGAATGATGTAGCAGAACGCGGCGTGGCATTGATAGAGCAGTATAATCGATGCTTAACGAAAGATGAAGAACAGCTTCAATATTTGTTGCAAGTAGTGACAGACCATAGAAAACAATATCCTAATTGCAATAAAAGTAATTTTATAAAACTGTAATATTTTCAAGTTGAAAAATTGTTGTAACAAGTTGTAAATATAGTTTTTTGTTTAAAGAATTAATTGTTCAATTAAATTTCTTAATATTTAGTAAAGAAAAAAATAAATTTGTTATAAAAGAGATCAAAAAATCATTTATAAGATATTTTTAACGTTTATATTTATATATTAATGCATTTCGTGAGTTAAGTGTTGAATTAATTAGTAAAAAAAAGTTTACAGTCTCAGGTTAACGGAATTAAAGTAATTTTACATAAAAAATAATAAAAATATAGCATATGATATTTTTTTTGTAGTTTTATTGGAAAATATTTGAAATTTTTTATTAGTGTTATCTTTGACCGCGGATATCTTTGAAGCCGTTAATCTGAGGAACTTTGGTCTCTAGACGTTTTTTGTAGAGCGTAAAATTTCCTACAAATATCATTTTTTAGATTGTTGTTACGATGAACCGTTCCAAAGTAATAAAAATTAAAAAATTAAAAAAATTTTTCCCGTGTTATTTAAATGGAAAATAAAGAAATGGATACAGGCAAATCTTACTATTGATATTAAGAGCTCATATGGGCGCCAAAATTTTTGTTTTTAGGTTGTAAAATGCTGAAAGAGCGGAAAAACTAAGGATCAGGTTTCGGTCTGGTTATCTCAATTAAAATACAAAAATTATTATTAAAAATAACACTAGAGATTTATTAACAATAAATACACTATATATTTAACTTGTTTAATATCGGATTGATTTTAGAAAAGCGGATTTATAAAACACAGCGTGGTTATCAATGCGAAGCCGGTCAGCACGTGGTTGAGCAAATTGCCGGCACTGTAAAAAGCGGTGAAACAAAAGCAAATAAACACAATTTATCTGAAACAAACTGAAGCGAAATAAAATAGCGGGAAAGCGAAGCGTTAGACTTAATGGCGGAGAAGCGAAAGATAATAATAATAGTTCGTCTTCTTCCTCGTCTTGGAGAAGAAGGCTACAGCGCATGTCTAGCGAGAGCGATAGCCAATCAATAAATTCGTTCTATTGATGTCGACATCGATAGCCAATGGTAAAATTCGATCCATGTGGCGTGATCAGTCAAGCGGTTTGCGCAAGCGGGTGAGAAATTGCGTGAACGATCGCTTGTCAGGTGCGTGTTGTAAATTTGGGGAGCCCACAGTGACGTATTGCTCACTGAGTGGGCCTGTTCACTGAACATAGGTATACTATCAATTTTTAGACACCAAAAGAAAAACAAAAAAATTCGTCTTTTTTTGAAACACCCTAATACATACATGCATACACACACACACACACACACACACACACACACACACACACACACACACACACACACACACACACACACACACACACACACACACACACACACACACACACACTCATAATGACAACCTCGCGGGGATAGTCAGGGAAGCTTCCTGAAAACGGGGTGAAAACAATAACTTCCCGATTCTTGAAAACCTTCGATTTTTTTAGCGGGAAGTTAAAAATTATAACACTAACTATTTTTGCATTGAAAAACGTTTTAATCATCC